AATAATTTCATATCTACCACATATTTTAGAATAAGCTTTTAAATGAGACATAATTAGGTTTTATTTAAACAACTAAAATCAAATTTATATTCCAACATCCCCTCTTAAACTTGATTTTGTGACTCCAAGTAAACTTCTCAGTTTAATAAAGTCTTCACTCTTGAGTAGCTTGGTAAAAATATCTGCAACTTGATCTTGAGACTTCACGTACTGCACTTGTATCTTCTTTCTTTCGATGCATTCTCTGATGTAGTGATAGCGCATATCAATGTGTTTGCTTCTATTCTGGAAAAATGGATTATTTGCTGTGTACACCCACTTCACATCAATTGCCTTATGCCCTTTAGGAAGTGAAGCTAGTTCTCATGTGTCGTTCTTCTCGATTGTCTTGATTTCTTCATCAATTCCATCTTTTCACTTCTTGCTTTGTATGGCTTTTTGGAAATCAATGGGTTCACAGTCGGCAAAGAGACAAAAAGAGTAAAATTATTTTGATTCATAGTTATCTCATAAAGATCTTCTAATCTTCTGAAGCGTGTTACTCTTTCACTTGAATTTTCTCTTGAAGTTGATGACGATCAGTTGTTTTGATTACTTGTAGTTAATGTTGTTTGTGGAGTAGTAGACTCTTCTCTTGCTTGCTCGATCCTTGGTTGCTCTATGTCTTCTTCTTGAAAGTATAGAAAAAAGTTGTAGTTCTCAGCATGTAGTCCCCAATCCCATTCTCCTCCTTCATCGAATATGACATCTCTGCTGATGGTTGTCTTCCCTGTATTTGAATTGTATAATTTGTAGCCTTTGGAGTTGTTGTCGTAACTAATGAAAAAGAACTTCTCGTTCTTGTCATCCAGCTTACTTTTTTTTTCGCCGGGTATGTGTACATGATTTATGCATCCAAAAACTCGTAGATGAGAGATGTCAGACTTCCTTCCACTCCATGATTGTTATGGTGTCTTTCCCAACACGCTACTTATTGGTGATCGGTTAGCAAAATAAACAGCACATGCAACCGCTTCTGCCCAAAACTCCTTCGGCAATCTCTTGCTTTTTAACATGTTTCTCGTCATGTTGAGGATGGTTCTATTTTTCCTTTCTGCTACTCCATTTTGTTGAGAGGATCTTGAAATAGTTAGAAGTCGACGTATTCCGTTAGCTTCACAAAATTCTTGAAATTCTTTTGAAACGAATTCTCCTCCTCGATCAGATTGCATAGCTTTGATACCACTTTGTTGGAATGGAGAAGCCTTTTGGAGATGGCAAAGGCTAAAAACTTATGGAAGAAGCTTCACTCTTATTTATCATCTTAACTTGGTTTGATTCAAACTCAAAGACTCTACCCCTATTTATAGTAGTGACACCTCCTAAATTAATCATTAGGATTGTGTCACTACAATTCCAATCTAATTGTTACAAATAATTTCACACCTACCACACAATAATTTCATACCTACCATATAATAATTTCACAGCTACCACACCTACCACACAATAATTCCACGGCTACCACACCTACCACACAATAATTTCATACCTACCACATTCTAGAATAGACTTTTAGATGAGACATAATCAGACTTTATTTAAACAACTAAAATCAAGTTTATATTTCAACAAAAATTTCTTCTACAACTCAATCATCTATTGCAAAAATGTGATAGTGTGCAATGAGAATCAAGGTGTTAAAGCCCATCACATGTAGCTTGTACTAATGTAAATTGTCTCTAATATTCCCTTCTTAATCTCTATGTTAACACTTAAAAGTCATGATCATTTTCTTAGTGTGATTTAACGAGGCATGATATAAATGCTTATCTTGGTGGGTGTTATACATCCATTATCACCTAGATTTAGTTCAATTTAAGATAATTCAACTTAGTGTATTAACTTCAAACTTAGTAGGCCAAATCGGCAAAATCAACCACGTAAAGTCATTAGGGAAATAATGAACTCGTCGTCAAGTTCAGATTGATTGAGGACGTAAAGTTGTTCAAAATAGCATAGTAAGACATGCTTAGGTTTCAAGTTTACTTGCCCAGGCTCAACTTAAAGGCTGACTAATTGATGTTGCCGAAGTTGCTCAAAGCTACCTAATAAATTTTACAAGCTATGATAAAATAGGTCAATGATTTTGCATCGATTAATAGTAAAATGTATAATTTAACAAATCTATATAATTATATAGCTCTAAATTAGATAGTTTTGTTTTATGATAAATGCTTATTTAGACCTATAAATTTATTTTACTAATTAAAGAGACTTTTTTATAACATCGTACCTTCAGCTTAGCTTTAGAAAATAGATATAAGGATAATCAAAAGAAACCATGATTATTTGCTACAATATTATAATAATGGCAATAATGTGAGATCTCATATCTTTCTCTAAATTCTTATTTTTTCCTCTTATCTGCTTGTCACTTTGGTCATTAAAATTCATGTGTTGCTCACGAATTAATAAATTTGAATCTAACAAATATGATTTAAGTTTAACAGCCATACGGCTTCCTACAAATTTTTTACTTCATCTTATCTCTTCACAGTATGAATGAAATCTTAAAATCTATATAAGAAAAAGAAAAATGATGACTAGGTGATATGCTAATGACCAAAATTCTTAATATTAGATGGGAAGAAAGGTTAGGCACTTAGAGAAAACGTATAACTCGAGGTAACTAAGAGAGATCAAAGAGGGAACAATCACCAAGACGTGTTTACTTTATTATTTGCATGGCTCTAATTTTATCACAAGGAGTACTTTTAAATAAAAAAGGAACCTAAAAGACCTTGTAACAACCTCATAAATTTCAAATTACCCATCATATACAAATCTAAAACTTTATCTATCAAGGATGATTTATTTGTCATTAAGATAGCCATAACACTCATTGTTTATCATACTTTGAGATGAGGAATGATTCTGCTTTTGGTCATTGCGTGTCTCTCATCTATCATCTTTATCCCGATTAATGCTTTTGAATAAGTTTAATCAGCCTCTCATAAAAAAATGTGATCTTTCTCAAGATCTTAAGTTCTGAGTTACTGTTTTTCATATAGGTACATCACAATCTAAGGTAGCATGTTGTTGGCATGTCATAGATGTTGGCTGCCATCTTCTTAAATTAATCGAGCTGTGGATTCTTACGATTATTCATGATTGGATCTTTTATTATCACTTTTGGGTGGGTGTTGAACGAGCTCATCAAGACTTTTCAAATTCTCATTCAGAAGGATCGTGCTGCTAAGTTTTTTATTTTTTAGATTTTTTTGAACATCCAGAATTTTGAGTGAGAGTGACAGGTTTTTTCTATTCCGGTAGGAAAGAGCTCTCCTTCTTTAAAGTATATTGCGTGCAGATTAGGAGTGCACATCCTGAATACACCCTAAATATACTCCGAATACACTGTACACATAAAACTTTTTCCTACTACTGTGACGTGATGATCAAATAATACTACGGCTTCAAAAAGATCCCAGTTCCCTTTATATCCCACATATTTACTTTTGACAGTGCATTTTTCCTTTTAATGTATGTGTTTTCTGTGAGTGTGTAGTTCTTATTTATACTAAATTTACGCACTCCCTTAAAATTTACTCAAAAATTACAAAATAAATACAGAACTGCATGTTAGAAAGAGAAAAAAAAAAGTTAAAATACAATTCCACGCATTGTAAGTAGAAAAAATATCGACTATTATCTCAGGTAAACTCTTTTTAGATGCATCGTGGTATTTCAACCTTCAGTTTCATGGAAGAACATCAGCTGATTTGATTTCATTTCATTTTTTCTTAATTTTCACCACCATCAAGGTTGTTTTCTTGCTGGTTCAATTATTGCAATATCATTCAAAAAAAAAAAGATTCTGATATAATAACTTAATGATATAATTTATATGAAGACGATAAGCAAAATATTCAGGATTATAAAAAAATATGAATAAAATTTAAAACCGTTTAAGAAGAAATTAAAACAATATCTTAAACTAAGTTTTTCTTAACAAAAAAACTAAAACATATTTTAATTTTTAATTTTTATCTTATAACTTCGAAATTTTGAATTTTTATCTTATAATTTTGAAAATATTATTTATCATTTTAATTGAAGTTGTCTCAGAATGTCAGATAAAACTTTTATTCATTTAATATACGCGGAAATCGCTTCTATATAACTGGCGTAAATGGCACATTCAAATCATCACCGAAAGCTCGTTTCTTTGTAGAAATCCGAATTTATTCTAGTCTGTTAGAGCTCATAAAACTTCTGAGAGATGGCGAATATACTGACAGTACCTTTATATATTGCCATCGCAAGCTTCTGTGGTTCTCCTCAGTAGTGAAAGAAATAATACTTCGTTCATTTATTCAAAGTAATCTGACGAGAACTAACGCCATAGGATATCAAACCAATCTGCTCAAAAACTAAAACCCCAGTTGCTATCATGCTAAAAACTAAAAAGAAAAATGATTTACCCACCCAAAATCATCAGATTATTTTTTAAGTAATTCAATGGAACTTTTATCTGCTATTTTTGTGGTTCCTGTTGAATTTCTGGGTAACTAAAGAATTACAAAACCAAAAGTAGCGAGGCAGAAACCACATAGACATCTATATATGATCAAATTTGATCCAATGCTCCAGAAAAAAATAAAACAATAACTAAAAGAGCCCCATCAAACTCTTTCCCTTCCCCCAACCATCCAAATCTATCCAAAAAAAAACAAAAAAAACAAAAAGCAAGCAATCACTCTCCCTAAAACACAATATTCAAGCAAAAATCCATGAACCAGAATCAAAATTCAGCAACACAGAACCCTAAGTCGATAAAATCATCATCTATAAAAACTCCAAAGAAAGAAAAAAAGAAAGCTAGATAAGCTCCATGATCAAGCGATCTCCCAGCACAAATAAATTTCTAGGGTTAAAAAACTAGATCCATCAATCAAAACAGCAAACAAGCAAATCCACGATCATTTAAAACATGATCAGTAAAAAGAAGTTAATACCTACTACTGCTGCAGAACTCAAACAGTCGGCCGCGGTTGGAGAAAACGATCAACGCAACCTCCGCATCGCACAGCACCGATAGCTCATAAGCCTTCTTCAACAATCCATTCCTCCTCTTCGCAAACGTCACCTGCCTGTTTATCTTGTTCTCAATCCTCTTCAACTCCACTCTCCCCCTCCCCATCTTCCTCCTCTCTCTCTCTCTCTCTCTCTCTCGCTCTTCTCCTTCACTCTTCTCTTTATCTCTCCCACGAACTGGTAAGCCCTCTACGTACACAGTAAAGCTAGCGCTGGATTAATAACTCCTCCTGTGTTCGTGATTTACTTGTACGAAATGGGATTAATGTGGCCTAATTAATTACGGGATTAGTGTTAAGTATAATTAATTAAGTAGCTGCCGAGCAACGTTGAGGCGAACCTTAAAACCATCCGATTTTTGGTCCATTGGACACGTTTCGAATGAATAGTGGTTGGATGATTCGATCCAAAAAGCTGATTTTTACGGGTCGGTTGGGTCGGGTCGGAGATGCGTGAAGACCGGAGTCCGACAAAAGAGCATTTATGTCATGATTTGGACAGCTTCCTTAACTAATGCAATAATAAAAAAAAAATAGCTTTCGCTTTCGCACAATTCTTACAATATTAAATGTTCTTCACATTCACGCATAACATTAAGAAAACAAAATAGATTTATTTTTAAAAATGTTTTTGGAGTAGAGTAATAATTAGGGGTGGAAATGAGCTCAACAAGAGCGAGTCCAGACTCAGCTCGTGCTCTCGTAAAAAAATATCATTGTTCGTGTTCGGCTCGTTTGCTTAGCAAGTCGAACACGAGCTATTCGCGAATAAGGAGTCATTTTGACAATCTCAATCACGCAGCCGTAAGATATTAAAGGTTGGGACGAATTTTAAATATTTTTATTTATATTAAAACTTCATTTAAATATAATTTAATATATTTTTACTCTATTTTTTAATTAATCATAAATCTTTTTAACCTTATATTCGATTAATTTTTTTAAAAAAAACTATTTATCAATTTCGAGCCAAACAGGAACGAACAAATCTTTATTCGTGTTCGGCTCGTTTATATATCGAGCACAAAAAAAATATCATGTTCGGCTTGCTAGCTTAGCGAACGAATTGAACATGAGCTGTTCACGAACAATGAGCCCGTTTGACAGCCCTAGTGATAATATAAATTTTACATGAGCCTAATTGACTTCTTAATCGAGGCTTAAATGGTCGAGTTTAGTGACTAACTAAAATGACTCTTATGGTGATAGAATAATAATTTAGCATCTTAACGTTGTACAAAGATCCAGTCACACAAAGATATTTGAAAGAAAATTCTTACTCTCGTATATCTTAATATATATCCTTAGGCTGACACAAAGGCACTTAATCTCTCTGTTTCTAATGAAAACTACCCAAGGTATCATATTCTAATGTCTATTCAACCACTCAATCAGTTGAAAAAAGATGCTCTTTTTTGAAGGTTACACAATTGAGCTAAGAGAAAAGACCTAATGTGAATCAAAAGAAGACTAAACTTAAGCTAGATTTATGTAACTAATCAAACTAAAATTTCACAAGGAATTTAAGCTTTTATATGAGAGTCAACTACTTAGTATTTCTATAACAAATATTTTTTAGATAGTAGATGTTGAAAATTTAAAGCATCATGTTTGGGATGTATTAGCATTAAGCACTTCATATATGCATTGACATTACATACCCAAGATTGAAAAACTCCACATGTTATTTGAATTTTTTGGGAAAAAATGGTTTGAAATTTATTTGAGACTAAAATACCTCTAATATTCATATATCTTCACTATTAAAAGAAGGAAATACAACCTTGACCATATATTTGTATTATATCATTCAATTATTTTTTTTCTCTAAGAGAATAAGATTATCAATACTATGTAGTTTTTCATTTTCTTATTCATTGGGTGCGTAAGAAGTATGAGTATTATATTTTTATAATATTTTTGTCATCCTTCATAGACTATGTCATTCTAAAGGAACATGCGTGTACATTGATGTAGAGTATTGTTATATCACTAAAAAATCACATGATCGGGTACGAATCTCGATGCAAGCATGCATATTGAGATCATATTGGCTTTGATTTAGCAAATTTATGGCCAAATTGAATATCTTGATAATACAAACCAAATAATATGAACATTGATTTAATATTTGCCCAAATAACCTTAGATACTTGAAGAATATATTAAAAATTTGAAGAATTAATTTAATAATCAAATGATCCCCAAATCCGACATGCTTACAATCAAATCAAACTTATCAAAAAGAGAAATCCAACAAGTTTAAGATCAATCAATTCTAATATTGTTAAGACTCTTAAATGCTAAAGAATGATTCGAGATCAAACGAATCAATATGAACCATTGAATGGAGTGTTTTAGAATTTTGGCTAAATAGACTAAAATGTTCTCCCAAAAAAGTTATAAATAGAGTATTATTTTCAATATAAAGAAGAATTAAAAGTTAATTAAGTCCACACTCGTAATGTACATAGGAAGCTAACGGCTACTAGAGCTGGTCAACAACTAGTACTAGTGGGTATTATAACATAGTTTTTATTGCTAGGTGGTTATTACTTGATATTTGTAACTCGATCAAGATATTGTAATCTCATTTTCTCTATACAGAGAGTGGAGTAAAACCATGTACCTTGAATTATATAGTGAATTTTTTGGCCAGGCTAGGCCTCGTATTTTTTTTTTCTCAGTTTAGATGTTTCATGTAAAGTCTCTAATGTTTTTTCTTTCAACCATTCTCTTAACTAATTTGTATGTGTGTTGTTATAACTTCACGTAATGCTAAAACATTAATTTATCACTCTGCTATCACAAATTTTCTAGACCTAAAAGTATCAGGGATTACATATTAAACCTTCTTAGAATATGTATTGAGACCATATCCAAAGCCTCTTTGAACTATAATCAAATATTGCTCAAATCTGATCAAAATAAATATTCGAACCACTTATGATTTTGGCGAGCATTTCAATAGCCAATACTATTGAAGGTAATATATATTTTTTCAAAATGTGAAGACTTCTACATAAATATACGATTTCCAAATATTTGATTAATTGGCATACATATAATTTTATAAAATATAATTTCAAAGTTATATATATATATATATATATATATATATATATATATATATATCTGTGTGTGTGTGTGTGTGATATGAGTTTTTTTTAAGTGTGTGTGTGTAATAGGAGTATTTTTAAATTACAATATTGATTTCAAACTGTCGAGCTAAAAATTAGATGGGCGGTCAAATTTTCTTTAAGAAATTTTTTCCTGATAAAAATGACAAATCAAATGGCACGCTTACCTTTCTACATCACATTCAAATATTAATCATTACAAAACCTAACAATGGCAAATACGTCATTAACCATAATATTCAATGTAATCATTCTTACGATTAGGATTGTCAAAACGGCTTCTTTTTCACGAATAGCTCGTGTTCGGCTTGTTAAGAAGCTCGTGTTCTGCTCGTTTGCTAAGTTAATGAGCTGAGCACGAACAACACAGACAAATATTTGTTCGTACATGTTCGGCTCGTTTTGACTTGAAATACTACTAATCAATTATTTATATATCTTTGATGAGTAGTTTTTTTTTTTTTTAAATTGTTTTTTTTTTTAAATTTAATTGACTACAAGGCTATAAAGATTTATAATCAATTAAAAGTATTAATGAAGAAAATAGAATAAAAATTATTAAATTATATTCAAATGATGTTTTAAATTTTGCCCCAATTCTTAACAACTGATGACTACGTAATTAGGGTTGTCAAAATGACTCTTTATTTGTGAATGGCTCGTGTTCAGCTAGCTAAGCAAATGAGCCGAACACGAACACACTTTTTGAGCTCGAAATATAAATGAGCCGAACACGAGCTCAACCGGGGCTTGCTAGTGTTCGGCTCATTTACCCCCCTAATTACAATTCTGTGATCATATATATATATA